GCATTGTCACAAAGGAAAGAAGGATGGAAGGAAGGATCACATGCATTGTCACAAAGGAAAGAACGATGGAAGGCAGGATGACATGCAATGTCCCAAAGGAAAGAAGGATGGAAGGAAGAATCACATGCATTGTCACAAAGGAAAGAAGGATGGAAGGAAGGATCACATGCATTGTCACAAAGGAAAGAACGATGGAAGGCAGGATGACATGCAATGTCACAAAGGAAAGAAGGATGGAAGGAAGAATCACATGCATTGTCACAAAGGAAAGAAGGATGGAAGGAAGGATCACATGCATTGTCACAAAGGAAAGAAGGATGGAAGGATGGATCACAAGCTTTGTCACAAAGGAAAGAAGGATGGAAGGAAGGATCACAAGCTTTGTCACAAAGGAAAGAAGGATGGAAGGAAGGATCACATGCAATGTCACAAAGGAAAGAAGGATGGAAGGAAGGAAGGAAGGATCACAAGCTTTGTCACAAAGGAAAGAAGGATGGAAGGAAGGAAAGATCACAAGCTTTGTCACAAGTGCAATACTTTAATTTTCTGCTGCTCATTCCTGTGCAATATCCCATCTGCCCTCCCGTCATATTTCTTTTGAAGATTTTCTTATTTAATCACTAATGTACATATATTTATATTTATAGATACATCTATATTCAGTCATCTTTTCTCTTTTACCATGTCTCTCTAATATTTTGCTCCTTGCTATTTTTCTATTTTCTTTATTATTTTATTTTATTTTCATATATTTTCTCCTACTGTGCATGCTGCTGAGTGACTGCTGCTCGTCAAACACATTTAATTGCACTGTTGACCCTGTGCTAACTTGCATATGACAAATAAATCTGAAAACTAAAACTAAACTAAGGAAAGAAGGATGGAAGGAAGGATCACAAGCTTTGTCACAAAGGAAAGAAGGATGGAAGGAAGGATCACATGCATTGTCACAAAGGAAAGAAGGGTGGAAGGAAGGATCACATGCATTGTCACAAAGGAAAGAAGGATGGAAGGAAGGATCACATGCATTGTCACAAAGGAAAGAAGGATGGAAGGAAGGATCACATGCATTGTTACAAAAGAAAGAAGGATGGAAGGAAGGATCACATGCATTGTCACAAAGGAAAGAAGGATGGAAGGAAGGATCACAAGCTTTGTCACAAAGGAAAGAAGGATGGAAGGAAGGAAAGATCACAAGCATTGTCACAAGTGCAATACTTTAATTTTCTGCTGCTCATTCCTGTGCAATATCCCATCTGCCCTCCCGTCATATTTCTTTTCAAGATTTTCTTATTTAATCACTAATGTACATATATTTATATTTATAGATACATATATATTCAGTCATCTTTTCTCTTTTACCATGTCTCTCTAATATTTTGCTCCTTGCTATTTTTCTAATTTCTTTATTATTTTATTTTATTTTAATATATTTTCTCCTACTGTGCATGCTGCTGAGTGACTGCTGCTCGTCAAACACATTTAATTGCAATGTTGACCCTGTGCTAACTTGCATATGACAAATAAATCTGAAAACTAAAACTAAACAAAGGAAAGAAGGATGGAAGGAAAGATCACAAGCATTGTCACAAAGGAAAGAAGGATGGAAGGAAGGATCACAAGCTTTGTCACAAAGGAAAGAAGGATGGATGGAAGGATCACATGCATTGTCACAAAGGAAAGAAGGATGGAAGGAAGGATCACATGCATTGTCACAAAGGAAAGAAGGATGGAAGGAAAGATCACAAGCATTGTCACAAAGGAAAGAAGGATGGAAGGAAGGATCACAAGCATTGTCACAAAGGAAAGAAGGATGGAAGGAAGGATCACAAGCTTTGTCACAAAGGAAAGAAGGAAGGAAGGATCACATGCATTGTTACAAAGGAAAGAAGGATCGAAGGAAGGATCACAAGCATTGTCACAAAGGAAAGAAGGATGGAAGGAAGAATCACATGCATTGTCAGAAAGGAAAGAAGGATGGAAGGAAGGATCACATGCATTGTCACAAAGGAAAGAACGATGGAAGGCAGGATGACATGCAATGTCACAAAGGAAAGAAGGATGGAAGGAAGAATCACATGCATTGTCACAAAGGAAAGAAGGATGGAAGGAAGGATCACAAGCATTGTCACAAAGGAAAGAAGGATGGAAGGAAGGATCACAAGCATTGTCACAAAGGAAAGAAGGATGGAAGGAAGGATGACATGCAATGTCACAAAGGAAAGAAGGATGGAAGGAAGAATCACATGCATTGTCACAAAGGAAAGAAGGATGGAAGGAAGGATCACATGCATTGTCACAAAGGAAAGAAGGATGGAAGGAAGGATCACAAGCATTGTCACAAAGGAAAGAAGGATGGAAGGAAGGATCACATGCATTGTCACAAAGGAAAGAACGATGGAAGGCAGGATGACATGCAATGTCCCAAAGGAAAGAAGGATGGAAGGAAGAATCACATGCATTGTCACAAAGGAAAGAAGGATGGAAGGAAGGATCACATGCATTGTCACAAAGGAAAGAACGATGGAAGGCAGGATGACATGCAATGTCACAAAGGAAAGAAGGATGGAAGGAAGAATCACATGCATTGTCACAAAGGAAAGAAGGATGGAAGGAAGGATCACATGCATTGTCACAAAGGAAAGAAGGATGGAAGGATGGATCACAAGCTTTGTCACAAAGGAAAGAAGGATGGAAGGAAGGATCACAAGCTTTGTCACAAAGGAAAGAAGGATGGAAGGAAGGATCACATGCAATGTCACAAAGGAAAGAAGGATGGAAGGAAGGAAGGAAGGATCACAAGCTTTGTCACAAAGGAAAGAAGGATGGAAGGAAGGAAAGATCACAAGCTTTGTCACAAGTGCAATACTTTAATTTTCTGCTGCTCATTCCTGTGCAATATCCCATCTGCCCTCCCGTCATATTTCTTTTGAAGATTTTCTTATTTAATCACTAATGTACATATATTTATATTTATAGATACATCTATATTCAGTCATCTTTTCTCTTTTACCATGTCTCTCTAATATTTTGCTCCTTGCTATTTTTCTATTTTCTTTATTATTTTATTTTATTTTAATATATTTTCTCCTACTGTGCATGCTGCTGAGTGACTGCTGCTCGTCAAACACATTTAATTGCACTGTTGACCCTGTGCTAACTTGCATATGACAAATAAATCTGAAAACTAAAACTAAACTAAGGAAAGAAGGATGGAAGGAAGGATCACAAGCTTTGTCACAAAGGAAAGAAGGATGGAAGGAAGGATCACATGCATTGTCACAAAGGAAAGAAGGGTGGAAGGAAGGATCACATGCATTGTCACAAAGGAAAGAAGGATGGAAGGAAGGATCACATGCATTGTCACAAAGGAAAGAAGGATGGAAGGAAGGATCACATGCATTGTTACAAAGGAAAGAAGGATGGAAGGAAGGATCACATGCATTGTCACAAAGGAAAGAAGGATGGAAGGAAGGATCACAAGCTTTGTCACAAAGGAAAGAAGGATGGAAGGAAGGAAAGATCACAAGCATTGTCACAAGTGCAATACTTTAATTTTCTGCTGCTCATTCCTGTGCAATATCCCATCTGCCCTCCCGTCATATTTCTTTTCAAGATTTTCTTATTTAATCACTAATGTACATATATTTATATTTATAGATACATATATATTCAGTCATCTTTTCTCTTTTACCATGTCTCTCTAATATTTTGCTCCTTGCTATTTTTCTAATTTCTTTATTATTTTATTTTATTTTAATATATTTTCTCCTACTGTGCATGCTGCTGAGTGACTGCTGCTCGTCAAACACATTTAATTGCAATGTTGACCCTGTGCTAACTTGCATATGACAAATAAATCTGAAAACTAAAACTAAACAAAGGAAAGAAGGATGGAAGGAAAGATCACAAGCATTGTCACAAAGGAAAGAAGGATGGAAGGAAGGATCACAAGCTTTGTCACAAAGGAAAGAAGGATGGATGGAAGGATCACATGCATTGTCACAAAGGAAAGAAGGAAGGAAGGAAGGATCACATGCATTGTCACAAAGGAAAGAAGGATGGAAGGAAAGATCACAAGCATTGTCACAAAGGAAAGAAGGATGGAAGGAAGGATCACAAGCATTGTCACAAAGGAAAGAAGGATGGAAGGAAGGATCACAAGCTTTGTCACAAAGGAAAGAAGGAAGGAAGGATCACATGCATTGTTACAAAGGAAAGAAGGATCGAAGGAAGGATCACAAGCATTGTCACAAAGGAAAGAAGGATGGAAGGAAGGATCACAAGCTTTGTCACAAAGGAAAGAAGGAGGGAAGGATCACATGCATTGTTACAAAGGAAAGAAGGATGGAAGGAAGGATCACATGCATTGTCACAAAGGAAAGAAGGATGGAAGGAAGGATCACAAGCATTGTCACAAAGGAAAGAAGGATGGAAGGAAGGATCACATGCATTGTCACAAAGGAAAGAACGATGGAAGGCACACTGTAAAAAAAGTCAGTAAAATATACAGCAAAACACCGTCAAATTCCAACGGTAATGGAGCGTAAAACCAAAAACTTCCTTTTACTGTATTAAATAGATTGAATAACCGTTAATTGTGAGACTGGATAAAACTTTGTTTTTTACTGTAATAAAATGTTGAAATTATAAATATTTTCTGTGAAAACAAATAAATATGCATACATTTTACAATTACATATTGTAATGTTGAAAATGTCTGAAAAACTTAGATTTTACGGTATTATTTGAGTAAAACTACATCTTTTGGGGTTGTGCACATTGGAATTCACAGTATAAAGCTGTAGATTTTTAAGCAAACAAAAACATTCATTTTTACAGAAACAAGATGTTAAAAAATAGGGTCCACCATAATAATACAACCAGTACATACCATTAAAAAAAAAGCAAATATCAGCAGTGAAAGTTAATAAAACTGATAGTATTTTTATTTATTTTAAAATTCAGATACTGATATACAGATTAAAAGTTAGGCCTGCAGTATATCATTGTTAACCTTCTGATAAAAAAATCAACAGCAAAAGAAGATGTTAAAAATAAAGTTTATGGTTGTGAATAAAATTGATTTCAATAATCTTTTTTAATTATTATTTTAAAACAACTTTATGTTGTTGTGTTTCACGCCATATTATCAGACCACCTTAAGTGGGTCGGCCTTAAATTTTGAATTTGTGTGATCGCTGTTGATTGGTAGCTAAACTGCTGGTAAACTGTGTACAGACGTTTTACGTTCGAATTGCAGAGAAAAAAAATCTGGTAGCAACATTGTGCAGTATGAGCGAACCATTTCACCAAAAAAAGGGGAAGCAAGGTAAGACGTGGCTGCAGCGGTCTGCAGACGTGACTTCTGATCAAATTCGAACCTCCTAAAGAAACAAAGAGCGACGTTACATTGCGGGATGACGTCACCTGAAAATGACCAATAGCGCGGCGCGCTGCTGAGCTGTGTGCCAACCGCTCTTTTTTTCATGCAGGAGACTCAAGTTGGCTTCGCTAACGGACACAGTTTTGAACTCGTATATTAGCGCCATTTATTGCTGCTTGGACCACAGCATCTTCGGAATTTGTAGACATCCTGGCAGCTTACAATTAGTTCGAGGTGAGGTGAGTACATGCAACTTCAAGTTATCTCTGTTATAAAAATCCACCAGCCCAGCGTTTATAGATGATTTTAGCAGTTCGTTTTTTATGAGTGAGGTTGTGAATTTAGTTAGCATTTGTGAGTTGAGTTAGCATTACTGTTGCGAGGGAAGCATTGCTCTGGATTAGTTTCTGTATATGGCGTGCTTAATTCGCTAGGGAGGAATTACCAAAGTACATGGAGTTATGTTAACGTGTAATTTCTGTGGTAAGGTAGTTCAGTCATCAAGGGGCTACGTGCTTCATTGTAAACTGCATCGGAATGAGCCACGTTGTTTCTTTCGGTGTATTGAAGAAGGCTGCAAGCAGACATACACCAGGTATGGCGCGTTTAAGGCTCATTTTTACCGAAGACACTGCCCCCACCCATGTCACTGGTGTGGTGGTGGTTTCTTCGTTTACATGTGCAATGGCGATGTGTGAACGTCAGTGTCAGAACTCTAAAGAGTTAATAGCTCATCTGAAGAGCCATATTGTGGAAGGACACGTGGTCACTTGTCCAGTAAGAGGATGCACAAATACCTTTAGAGTTAAATCATCTTTTACTGCTCACATGTCACGTAAACACAGAGTTTTCAGACAGCAGCATTGGTGATTTATATAGAGAGTCTGCATGTCAATCATCATCTGTTCCAACCACATCAGATGACTTTGTACCCTTGATTTCCGAGCCTGCTGCACAGTCTATTACACATGAAGATAACATGGAAATGCCCCCTGAATTCTGTGATCTTTTTCTGAGAAACGTTTCACTATTCTACTTAAAATTGCAGGGTCAGTTTCTACTGCCTGCTTCAACCATACAGAACATTGTAGAGGAAATGCAGAACATGCATGAGTTGGGACAGACATACAGTTTGGGTAAACTTGCATCACTGTTAAAAGATGACACATCATTATCAGAGGAGGACATCAACAAAGTCTGTGAGTCTGTCAAAAGCTATGATCTTTTTTCTGCATGTCATACCGGGCCATTGAGGACAGTGCACTCCAGAGCTCAGATCTTTAAAAAAGCCTTCAACTATGCGGAACCAAAGAAAATATTTTTAGGGAGAGATGAAAACAGAAAAGATAGGTTTGCCTATTATGTGCCTTTAAGAGAGACTTTGAGATGTCTGCTAGAGTCTGATCTGTGGCAGAAATCAGAAGAGCCCTCTACTGAGCCTCCTGCTGATGTTCTGTGTGACATAAGTGATAGTAAGCTGTTTTAAATAAAATGATTTTTTTGGTCAAAACCCATTGACTTAATTGATTTCTATCCATTAACATCTTACATGAAGTATGGGTACCAAATGGTTCCACTGAAACACAGTGTGCTGTCACAATAATGGTGCTGTTAGTTTGGTACTTACGAAACACTGTATAAAAGTGTAGTATCAAGCAAGATCAGCTTCATATTTTAAGACCAAAGGTACCACTTGGTGTAAATTGACCTTTATTCACATTCTTTTATCAGACATCTTGGAAATGGGGGGCAGCATAAGGAGTTCCATTACTAAGGTGCTGCCGGACCTGTCTGCCTCAATCCTTGAAATTGTACTGGAGGCACTACAATCATTAGGAGTGGAGACATCTGAGAAACAAACCAGTAAGTATTATGATTTCATTGCACAATAGCCATGAAGGACTTTCTGTTTTTTCTATTATGCTTTGGCCAAGGTCCAAAAAGTACAATTAATCTATTGTTTGTGATATTGTTTTACAGCACCAAATATGGAAATTTCAAGCCAGGCCAGCATATCATCTCCATCTGTTTTAAGGTTTAAGGGTGGTGGCACAGCTAAGACCCAAGAGTCTCTTTCAAGGTTAGTAAAGTAAACAGATTCAAGAAGATATTTTACACATTTCTTTGTCGTCTGTCTCTAAATCTTATTTTGTCTTTATTATGATTAAAAAGGTTTGTTTTGTTCCTGCCCTTTTCAGACACTGAATTTGAGCAGAAACCATAAGGATACTCAAAGGACCTGTGACTCTCAGGAAATGGTGAGATTTCAGGTCCTAACCTTTTTTTTTCCATTAAATTAATTTTCCTTTTTCCCTTTACAATATTGCTGTTTTGTTTTTGTAAACAGCATCAAATGAGAGAGACAGATGAAACAGTTTCAAGACAATGGCAGGAAAAAAATGCTGAAGATTGAAACAAACCTTGGCTGGAAATATTTGGTATGTGTTTTACCGTAAATCAAATTGTTGAAAAACATTCAGCTACACTGTAACACAGGGAAACTTGATTTGCACTTATTTTGTTACTTTAATTTCTTGTCTCATTATTTTTGTCAGTTATTATTGTTTATGGTGTATGCCCTTCTTGTTTTCCTTCTGAATGCAGAAGGTATCTAGCCAGTCCACAATGAAAGCTTCGTTGCACCCAATGAGTCTTCTGGCAGAAATGATGGCGGCTGTATTCTTTGGCTTCCCTAAACATCACACCCTGCCTGTTTATACGAGGCTCTTCAATTAAGTCTGCACCCAAAGATTCAATAAGAGGTAAGCAGTGGTATTATTCAAGTTTTGCTAAAGAAAGATGGACAGGAGACACTAATCTTAATCAGCCGAGCTCAGGTTCATGTCCAGGTGAGCAGTTTCATACGCTATAAAATGTAGATTGAATGATAGGTCTCATCACCATGCATTCAGCCATTAACTTCAAGTTCTATGATAAATCAATACGAAACTTAAATACGTTTTCCAACAAATTATGATTGTGATTAGGGCTGCGTTGTCTATGTATAACTTTTACATAAGTAGATTTAAAGTATAACTATTGCCAAAACGCAACCTGGGCTGTTTTTTTTTTCTTTGTTTTTTTTTTACTGTATCGATTTTGATGTGCTCAAATTTATGCCCCGGCCCCCTAGTATTCCCATTCACTGGCTATTGACCACAAAACAAAATCACGGTCAATCTCAAAAACGGCTTGTTTGTCGTAATTATGCTTTTAGATATATGTTTGTCTCGTTTACAGTAAAAGAAAAAAACAACTAAAAAAAACAGCCCAGGTTGCATTTTGACAATAGCTATCCTTTAAGAACTGTATATTTTACACTTAAGAAATCATTTATCATTAGATCTGGTTTTGGCAGCACGTTTTGTTCATTTCTGTGCATTTTGCTCAAGCACTGATCAAACTTTGTCCATTTTTTTTGCTGCAGAGGGGATCCTGCCAGTCCAAAGTGAACTCCTGATGGACATTGAAGTACTCCTGCAGAGCTTGTATCTTCAACACCATGCGCATTAGAAACTCCACCGAGTCCTTTCCTTCACCAAGGCAGGACCCAGTGACTCATTACTGTTGATAGGTCAGGGGCAGGTAATATTTTGTTTCATGTTTATTCATTCCTCCATGGATTACCAGCCATATATATGGACACATGCTGTATTCTCAAGATCTATGCTGTTTTGTAGGAATAGAGAAAATAATATGTTTAGTCTGTTTTCAAATGGTATGTCAAATTTTCTCATTGTTTATCAGTAATATTCTCTACCTTGGTTGTATATGAGCATCTTTAGATTTTTCTATATTTAGCGGTTGCAAATGTAAAATGTACGGTAAACCATTTATGTTCCTCATATTGTACTGTATTTTTAGCGGTAAAATACCGGCAGCTGTGGTTGCCAGGAATTTACCGTAAAATGTATCTGGTCAAAATAAAATGCTGTAATTTGTTATACAATTTCACTGTGTTTTTTACTGTCAAAGTGTGACCAGGAGATATTTTATTTTGTATTCTTATGATCACAGTTATAATTAGAAGTATCAATCATTAATCATTTACCATTGTGGAATCTGATGACAGTATAATCTTTGTTTTATATCTATGGTAATCTGAGTAAAGATTAATGTATGCAGGTTATCATCATTGTACTCAAGTCTCAAATGGTATCCACAGCATTGTATTCACCGTCCATAACTGGAGGGTCTAGCAGGACCTTGTTCTAATTCATTTGCAGGCCTACATCAGAACATGCACATAGAGAGTTATGTAAACACGCACGTTCACCCTTATTTACACAGGGAGGTCATGTCAGGACATTCTCTAGTTGGACACACAGGCTCACCGAACTGCACAACATGACATGTCACACACTTGGTTTTCTCTAAAGTATCATCTGATGTTTGTATAAGGAGAACTTTGGACTATGGGGAGACTGTTATCATTTCCAGTAAGGTCTAACTGTGTGATGTCATCATGGGTTACATAAGGACGGGGAGCTGTCCACTCTGTGGAGATCTGTGGCTGTACGCTTGTCTTCCCATGCTTCTGTCTTAGAAGCATGTAATAAAATCGCTATGTTTGTCACCTACACGGACTCGGCTGTTTTTCCTTCTTACCCAAACTGAACCAGACGTAACAACTTGGTGCCGAAACTCCGGTTGGGGAGGAGGGGAGCTTGCAGCTATCGTGTGGGTGACAAACAGGGGCGGAGGCCAGCAGCTTATCTGAGTGACGCCAGGCGGAATAAGAAAAGGAAAGGTGAGTGCCACCTGTTGATTTTTATCCAAAGGCGCTATATTGGAAGTTAAAACTAAATTTAATTAAATAATATTCACTCAGTATGGGCTTCTGGCGTTGGTCCATGGTGATCTTGGGGTAATTAGTGTTAAAGGTAGGGAATAGTGAACTGAGTAAATGTATTGCTGTTTATTTTGAGAGTGAACTGTTGAGTTAAGAGGTTATGTGTTTAAGTTAATACGGTTTAAGGTGTGTGGAAACAAATAAATACGGTTTAAGAGGTTTAAATGTGGGTTGACTGGGAATGCCAGCCAGTCAATCGGTAGTGTAGGGCATTTGGTTTTAATTGGGTAGCAAAAACGCGGTTTTGGGCTTCAGATAATTAAACGGGGGGGCTGAGAGCTCACCGTGAGGCTTTTAAAACAAGTATATTTATTTAGGACTGGAGACGCGGTCTCCTAGGAATGCAGTTCGTCCAGCAGGTGGCACTGACCCCTAATCGCGGACGCGTGGTTAGGTTTTAGCCCGGAGTTGGCCTTCCGCGGGGATTCGGACTCCCGTCAAAAAGGCTAGACAATCAATGGGTGATTGTCTTATACTGCATTTTTTGATCGACAGGTCTGGGACCGGCCGGGACCACACAACGTCGTTGGTCTGAGAGTTTTAAGTAAAGCTGAAGGCGTGGGTTTGATACCAGCGCCAGAGGTGGAGCTCCTTTTCAGCTGCGGGAAACGGTTATAAATTAAGTAGAATTTAGTAATTTGACCGTTTTTCAAGGCGGCGTACTTGAGACGTGTAATTGATCAGCAAGAGCGAGGCTCTGGGCTGAAAGATGCTTTTAAATTAGTCAAAAATTTAGCAACACCAGCAGAGAAATAGAGAAGTGAGATAAAGTTGTTCTGGCATATGGTGTTTTCTTAGGAATTCGAGCGCTATCGGGAGGGCGTTCCCGAGGTGTGTATTGACCAGCAAGGCTAGGCCTGGGCTATAGGTGCTTTTAAATTAGTCAAAAAGTTAGGTGTAACCTCTTCTAGCATATGACGTCTATGCGGGCCCGTGTGTATATTGTATATAAATTACCCGTGTGTGTCTGTGCATTTAAAAGTGTAAATTGTATAAACTGTCTTGTGTTGTTGAATTTCTTCTGTGTGGATCCAGAGTGTGTGTGTGTATTTCTCCTTAGGAGAAAGGAGGGGTTGTGTGGTGCTGCGCAGTAGCGGGCACACGCGCGAGTACGAGCGGAGTGTGTGTGTGTACAGCTGCGGCCCTTGGTTTCATCTCTCTATTTCTCCATATCTGTCCTTCTGAGCTTCTTTTCGTTAGGTGAAAGGGGGTCTCAGAAGTGTGGTTAAGAGATTTCAGTATATTAAATAAACTAAACCTTGTAGTCTTGTGTTTGTGATTTCCTAATGTGACTATGGTTTAATAGAATTCAAGGAGTAATGATCCCTTGTGTAAAACTCCCATAAGGTAGGAGTGCGGGGATTTATATCTTGACAAAATTTGAGAACTTTGTGTGATTGCTGGGAGATTTTTAGTTGGGTCGTATTTCCTTCTCTACCTGGAAAAGGCAGAGATCTGTGCTTTATTTGATGTTGTGTAAATAAAGCTTTTAAAAGTTGGTTGAGTCTCTCGTATGAGGAGGGAAAACGGTGCATGGTAGATTGTCTAGATTATTTTTGTATGTGAAAACGTTGTAGTTGTTAGGGAAGTGAATGTGAGAGTGAATTTTCGCTGGCTTTGCGTGCTTAAAACTGTTGCAGTAGACGTTTGTGAAGTTTTGTTGTGAAAGGATGATTAGAGTGTGTGTGTGTGTAGGTGTGTCTGTGAGAGAAAGACAAGGTGGGGGCCGAGTGCTGTGTGTGTGTGACTTTCTGCATGACAGAAGAGGAAGGAGAAGTAGGTCAGTTGATTTTCTGTGAAATAATAATAGTCAAGAAAAAGGGAAAACAATAAAGTGTGGAAGTGTGAGTGAGATATTGTCTCTGACTGGGGAAGCAGTGAGAGTAGAGGTCACCTTATTCCCCTGCTGGACACAAGAGAGAACAGGATTTGGAGTGTTGTGGAGGAAAATGATTAGTAATAACATCAAGCAGTTTTTGTGTTTGCAGTCAAGAACATATGAAATTTTTACTTGTGGGGTTTAAAGTTAGTAAAGAGTTAAATCAACCCTCCTCAAGACTTCAATAATTTAGGCAGTTATGTTTATACAGATACTAAATGTATGTTTAGTGTCTTCATACAGGTGTTTTTTCTTAACCTGGAAACCTGAGTACGGAAGCAGAAGACAGGCCAAGCTTTAGCTAAAAATTCACGGCTGGACACCAGAGTTGTCCCCACCCCTCCCGGGAAAGAAAGAGAGAATGAAGTTTTAGGCAGGTTTTTCTCGCAGAACTGCTCTGGGTGCTGTGTCCCTGAATCTCACCAGTGTTAACCTCTGGCGGAAGACATGGAAAAAAGGAAAAGATGTTCCTGGTAAATGACTGAAACAAATAAAACCACACACAACCAGAGACAGGTATGAGAAGTGTGAGGAACAGACACATGTGCATGTTAGAGGAATGCCTCATTTGAGAAAAAGTTAAATTAACCCATACACTGCATTTCGTTGCCCTGTACCTGTGCATGTGCAATGACAATAAAGTTGAATTCTATTCTATTCTATTCTATTCTATTCTATATACAGACGCACCCATACATGCAATGAAGAAACAGCTTACATACATGTGCACGTACATGCAAGGTTAAAGTAGCGACACTTAACATACACCTGTTTTTAAATGATATAGTTTATACATTACTGACAAATAAACTCTCTGGGTTGCAAGACAACAACTTAACGTCAAAAGACAAAGACACTGGTCTGATGATTAAGTGAGGACACGACAAATTTAGTGGTTAAAAGGGTCGAATTGGGACATGTTTTGTTGATTGTTTGAGACAAAGGACTACTGAATG